CAGATTGCCATTTAAGTTTCAAAGAAGACAATTTCCGGTTATGGTGTCATATGCAATGACCATAAACAAAAGTCAGGGACAGTCTCTCTCTCATGTTGGTTTATTCTTGAATAAGCCTGTTTTTAGTCACGGACAATTGTATGTCGCCATGTCGAGGGTACGATCTCGCGAGGGATTAAAAGTAATGATATGTAATTCTCATGATACTCCATGTAATACTACCGATAATGTAGTTTACAAGGAGGTTTTTGAAAATATATAATTGATGTTTAAACATACGTTGTTTATTTTTATTCATTTGAATAGTGTATATGTATGGAATAGTTTGGTTTGAATGTTAGTGGTTTTATTGAAAATTAAATTTTTAATATGATATGCAGGTAGATGGACATATCTCCATATTTATTAAATAATATTCAATATCAACCATTCTCATATCTAAAAAAGTTTGTGATAAACCTTATCTCTCCGTGCATCGCACGGGTGATGCACTAGTAAAAGCAAATAGCTGAAAGGGGATCTATTAATTGGGGTTTGTTGTTGGGGCAACCTCGTTGAGAAATGCCCGACGTCCATCATCACCGATTTGGTTTCTTCACCCGGATTCTGAGAAGACTCTCTGTTTTTCACCCTTCCTCTTATGCATCTGAGTCAAAATCTCATACGGCCGAGTGCGTGACAACTCCGAGGGCCGTGTTCATAATTTCTAGCGGGGCTCAATCCGAGCATGGAAGGGTGACCGAGTCCGAGTGCAAGATCATGACAAGCAGAGTTCGTGCAGCAATGTTGTAAGATCCCGTTCAGCGATGGTGATCTGCTGATGCCGAGTGTACAATGTTCGGCCGGGTGCATGTTCTGATTGAAAATAACTTGAGGGGCCTTGTGAATTGTGTCCCATTCTTCTCTTCATTTGGCAGAGTACATGTTCTGATATCTGAGTACGATGATCTCTATCACTTCTGATCTCACCGGGCTGCGACCCGCCTTCACGATTTAGCTCAAATATGCATTTTCTCCTTATATAAATGATTGCTAATCAGATTTGCGCCACGTTTGCTTCTACAACTTGGATAGTTCAAAAAAAAAGAGAAAAAAAAAATATATCGCTTCCACGTGATTCCATGTTCGCTTCCACGCGACTCTATGCAGCTGTGCATCATCGGGCTTCCACGCCACGATATGGCCTCACGCGGTCCTCGTCATTACGTGAGCAAATCCCTCCGAAGGGTATTGCATGGTCCTGCTTAGGACAAAAACTTGCTAGTCCTGCTTAGGACAAATATTAGATCTGCTGAGATCGCACTTCTACGCTACCACGCGTCATCGGCGCCACGCCGCTCCAACAAAAAAAAAACAAAGGAACAACAACAAAGGAATTTTTCATATTTTGTCTTTAAGGTACAAAGTGGAAGACCTCATGGCATACTCAACCTGAGCCCGACTAGTAGAGCTCACGGATGACACATCATTTCACCCTTTTCTAGAGGTCGGCCCCGGCCACCTCGCACGTCACCTAAGCCCTCGTCTCCCGAGGCAACAAAAAGCCCTCTCCCGAGGTTGGTCCCATCCACCTCACGAGGCACTTGACTCTTTTCCCGAAGTCGGCCTCAGCCACCTCGCAAGAACTTAAGCCCTCGTATCCCGAGGCACCCAAAAGCCCTCTCCCGAGGTCGGTCCCATCCACCTCACGAGGCACTCGACTCCTTTCCCAAGGTCGGCCTCAGCCGCCTCACAAGATGTTTAAGCCTTCGTCTCCCGAAGCAATTAAAAGTCCTCTCCGAGGTCGGCCCTATCCACCTCACGAGGCACTCAAGCCCTTGTCTCCCAAGGCAACCAAAAGCCCTCTCCCGAGGTCGGTCCCATCTACCTCACGAGGCACTCGACTCTTTTCCCGAGGTCGGCCTCAACCACCTTGCAAGTTACTTAAGCCCTCGTCTCCCGAGGCAACTAGAAGCCCTCTCCTGAGGTCGGCCTCGGCCACCTCACGAGGCACTAAAGTTATCTCCGAGACAATTTCAACTCCTTTCCCGAGGTTGGCATTGACCACCTCGCACGGCATATAAGCCCTTGTCTCACGAGGCATCCTAAGCCCTCTTCTCGAGGCACTCTTCAATGTCGTCCCAAGGCACACCCCATAGCCTACTTTATAGGGCACAATCTTAATTACTCATAGAATGGGCAGCCTGGCCACGCTGGTTGGCCAAGCCTATCGCATTATTTGCATTTGTTTGAGATTTTTTCAGGTAAATAATTATATGAAGGGAAGTCGTAACAGAGCAAGGGGACCAGAGACTCCCACCGGAGCCGAGCATGAGCACTACTCCCTTTCACCTCGGAATTCTTCCTCGGCTTAGGGAGTGGGGGACTCCGGGTACTCGGCTCGTGATTGTGACATTGCACACCGTGAGAGCTTGGCAGATCAACATCTTGATCTAACATTGCACTGTAGTAGTTCGTGTCGGCATGCACTCATTAGCAATACACTATGATGAATAGCCCTCGACTCTGGACATGTAACGAGTCCGGGGGACTTGAAGATCACCTCTTCTGAGATTCATACAGAAGACCTCACCCCCTAGCAATGTTTTCTTGATCTTCTCTGTGGGGCGAGATGTACTCTTTTCTTGATCGAGGATTTTTTTCCCATCCTCATGGGTTTTTTCCTTGGCAAGTTTTTAATGAGGCATCCCCCGTGGAGTAGGTCACACATTGACAGGATTGTGGGAGGATGTTCGAAGACGACAAATGGACTGTAGACGACGACTGATTCATCCACTCTTATGGTGATTGTACACTCTAGACAACAAGGAAGACGGTGCCCTTCTGTGGTGGATTATTGTTCTACTCCCACTTTCACCTCGAGTTCCTCTCGACTCGGGAAGTGGGGGACTCCTACACACGGCCAAGATTTTTCAAAATTCAAATTCCCAAACATCATTGGATTACTTCCCTCGACCTCGATACACTCGGCCGAGGAAGTAGGGGACTCATGATGGATACCCTGGACAGGGGGTATCCGGTCTTTGTATAATATTAGTTGGGGTGGTTCAGTCTGTTGGACTGGCCCGTTAGTTGTATATTATTTATTTATTTAAGGGAGGCCGAGTCTGTTGGGCCAGCCCATTAGTTCGAAACCCTAACCCTAACTCTCCCTATTTATACTCCTCTTCTTGGAAGAGGAGAGGAGGAGGGTGGAAGGAGGCTAAACATACACTACACTATTCATCTTCTTCATCTAAATATACACCATTTTCTCCTTCTTCCCTACCCTTGGATTCCATAATCCAACACCCGGTTTTTATTAGTTGGTGTTTATGTTTAAATAGACGAGGTTCATTTTTAGATGCTACAAGGAACTTAATCGTCATTTTCTCTACCAGAATAAAAAAGAGCTTGGATACTAAATGATAAAAACTATTGTCCCTACTACATGAAAAATATGTCCTCAAAAACCGAGCAAATCCTCAAAAACTATTGTCCCTATTACAAAAAATATTGTCCCTTTAAATGAGAGTCTCTTAAATGTGGATAAATAAGATGATTATGACACTACTGCCCCTCCCAATGAAGCTGCAAGTGACTACTTGGAACCCAACCTTGGTGATGCACACAGTATACCCCTTGGGGATAAACTGGATGGCACACAAGACAGTTCCAAAAAATGGGGATGATGTTATTCTTTCTCACCTAAATGTCTCTATGAACAACCCTTTCGGGGTGTTATCTGACCCTTTGATTTTTGATATTTTTGAGCATGAACAGGTCTCTCCCAGCCCCCAACAGATTGAGGAAGCATATTCAGTAAAGAAGTCCAAGATGTCTATTTGAAGAAAAAGACCCCTCTAGTGGATGGCCTTGTTTCTGACACTGATGGCGAGCCAAAGCTTGTGTGCGATGGATACAACGGACGCTTTATGTTCCTCAGGCCACCATTCTATATTCACTTCGGGTGCTAGATTCTATTTGGATCTTGCCATCTTTTTATTCTTTTCGTTTTATGAGTGAGATTGATTGATTGTATGGATTCCCAGAACCCTTTGTGTGTAGCGAGACAATACACAATCTGTCCATGTACTTTTTCTTTCGTTTCAATGGAAGTGTTTATTTTTTCATGTCCATAAAATTGTTTGAAACAACAGTTATTTGATTGTTGTATTAATTTTTCCTGAAAGTATGAAAATAAAGTCAGAGAGCGTATACATTTTCATTGTAAAAAAGATTACTGTTTCTCCGAACTTTTAAAATAGTTCTAGGTTTAAGAGCTAGACTACTATTTAAAACGGATATTCTTAACTTATTATAAATAACTCTGCCACAAAAATCTTATCTCATACACAATTGGTATTAGATTACTATTTCTCGAGATTTTAAAAACAGTTGTACGCTTAATACGCAAAATTCTCTTAAAAACAATTTTCTTTACTTATTATAGATAATCGTGAAAACAAATTGGTGTGACACACACTACTAGTAAATACATTACGGTTTCTCAAAACTTTGAAAATAGTTCTAACTTAATAGTCTAACTGCTTTTTAAAAGGGTATTCTTAAGTTATTATAGACAACTTGTAATAGATTACAGTTTCTATGAATTTTAAAAACAGTTCTACGCTATATAAATATACTACTGTTACAAAGAAGTCTTCTATTCTTATAATAAACAACTATGCAAAAAAACCATATGAAACATACAACTAACAATAGATTACTATTTTTATAAGTTTAAAAACAGTTATAAACTGAAAAACCAGACTATTGTTTAGAAATAGTAGTCTAAACTAATTATTGACAATTGTGGCAACAAAAACTGTATTTTTAGATGAAACACACTACTAATAATATATTACTGTTTCTCACAACTTTAAAAATAGTTCTACCCTTAATTCATAGACTACTGTTACAGCAAAGTCTTCTATTCCTATTATAAACAACCGTGGCAAAAAAACAATATGAAACAGACAACTAGCAATAGATAACTGTTTCTAATAAATTTAAAAATAGATCTAGACTAAAAAACCAAACTACTGTTAAATAGAGTATTCTTAACTTGTTATTGACAACTGTTGTAACAAAAACTGTATTTTGAACTAACACAGACAACTAATGATAGATTACCGTTTCTCGAAACTTTAAATATAGTTTTAAAGCATCATAACTAGACTACTGTTCTGTAGCCAAGAAAAACTCACAGTAGTCTGCTTTTTTTAACTACTGTGTTTTCATAAACAGTAGTTAATCAACAGTCTTCTGATACTGTTTTTGGCGTAGTGTCGTCGCATCCTGGAGCTTCCCATGCGTGAAGAAGGTTGCGGTCTACATGAAGGAGGAGATTTTCAACGCCAAACTGATCGTGACATCCAGAAGATGAAATAGAGCTGAACGAGTGGGTTGTCAACACGTTTGTCCTCGTGATCTCAGTGGAGATGTGATAGCCGAAGTGGATCTGAACAGAGTTCGGGTTAGAAATCCTAGATTAGAAGTTTTGTCATAACAATTCGGAGAAGAGTGTCTCATCATGTTGTTATGTACTGGTGTAACTTTCATCTAGTGATTTAGTGGAGGGCTATTACGTGGTCGTGGGCCCCGCAGATTAGGAGAGTTTCTCCGAACTGCATAAACATATATGGTGTCATTTTTTACGCATTTTTATAGTTACAGCATTCTGCCTAGTAGGCACTGTAACACCCTCTGCATCATCTGCTTCTGTCTGTGTGTGCTTGTGACAGAGAAGTGTTATAGCACCCTGTCCGTCATCTGTTACTGTGACAGTGCTGCAGCATATTCTCTACAACATAGTTGATTGTTTTGTTTGCATAGTTCTTAATTGGTGATTTCCGCTGCGCCCCCACGAACTTTCAATTGGCTTGATCTTTGGGTGGTTCGTTGCAAACAATCATGGTGATCTCTTAAAGAGTTAGCACACTTTTTGAAGCAAGATGTGGTATTGATGTAAATCTTGAGGGGGGAGTAAATTACAAAAAGGGATGAAGCTCCAGCAGATTCAAATGGGAAGTACGTGCATGGATCGTAATGGTAGATTTTTTTTTTTTGTTTTGCGCTTGTGATTGTTGTATGCTCTAAAAAGAACTTGGATTTACTTTTCTTTTTTACCCTTAATGAGATTGGTATATTTTGTGTCAAAAAGGGGGAGAAAAGGCTTAGTTCTTAAAAGATGCTTTAATCTTTTATACGCATGGTGCACAATGTATTTTGCCAAAAAATTGCCAAAGGGAGAGATTGTTAGTTCCATGGTGTTGGCTAATCTTTTGGAAAAATAGAATCCCATATTTGTTAGGTGTTTTACTAGATAGAAACCTCTATTTGTTAGGAGAGGTTTATTTTATTTAGACTTCTAGAGTTGCTGTAGTTTTCGAGGGTGACACAGAAGATGCTACATCACGATGCTGCAACACACTGTTTGGGATCAGAGCATGGGATTTTAAGCTACAATCTGAATTAGAGACCTATTGGGATTGTGATTACATGATAATAACTCCAGCTGTACATGCTAAGGAATCCCAACTCTTTAGGCTACTTGTGGATCAAGATTAAGGAAGTAGAGTTCAAGCCAACTTCTACTATCCTATTCCTACTAGGATTGTGTTAAGAGGAGCCTATAAAAACGCAGCAGGTCCCTGGGAATTACTTGGAGCGATTGAGAGGGAAAACAAAGAATATACGCTGATGTAGAGCATTTCCGTCGCATCCCGGAGCTTCCCATGCGTGAAGAAGGTTGTGATCTACATGAAGGAGGAGATTTTCAACGCCAAACTGATCGTGACATCTAGAAGATAAAATAGAGCTGAACGAGTGGGTTGTCAACACGTTTGTCCTCGTGATCTCGGTGGAGATGTGATAGCCGAAGCGGATCTGAACAGAGTTCGGGTTAGAAATCCTAGATTAGACGTTTTGTCATAACAATTCGGAGAAGAGTGTCTCATCATGTTGTTATGTACTGGTGTAACTTGCATCTAATGATTTAGTGGAGGGCTATTACACTGACGTGGGCCCCGCAGATTAGGAGAGTTTCTCCGAACTGCGTAAACATATCTGGTGTCATTTTTTACGCATTTTTATAGTTACAGCATTCTGTCTAGTAGGCGTTGT